CTGAGGAATGCAGGTCACCAAAGGTTCAGCTGACAAAAGAGACACCACTTGGTATTTGCTTCTGTTACTCTAGGGCAGAGAGTATATGGTTATATACACAGAAGCAGACCAGAATTTAGAGGTATGATAGCAAGACTGAACACATACATACCTTTCCCAGAAATTATCAAAACATTCTAGGATAAATTACTAGAAATATATATAACAAACCTGGATTTTTATAACTGCAAATTATTTCATTTTAATTAATACAAATAGATATTACACAAAAGTGGCTCTTTCTGGAGAAACACTGGTCACTTTTTATTCGTGTATGACAGACACATCATTTTTATGTAAAATCTTGTGAAAATTACTGATTCTGAAAACCAGAATTTTGCAGGCACTTCCCCTGTCCATTTCATGAAAATAACAACAAAAATACAGCTTGTGTTTTTGATTACTGTTCTCCCAAACTTGGCCTACTTAAAGCAGGCAGCTCAAAAACAACCTGGTGAAGACTGTTTTGCTCCATTACCTTTTTAACTGCAAAATCATGGAGAGAGTATGAAACAAAGGATGGAGGGAAGAGGCTGAAAAAATATGAGAGGAACATAAACTAGTCTGCTGAATGTAAACTATATTTTCAGCTGTTCTGTAAATAATTCTCAAAGAAAGATTAATCTCAAACACATGGAAACCCTTCTAGTGATAACAGATGCTACAAGGCCCTGCGAACAGCTGACTGCTGGGAAAGTGGTCAATACTGGGGAGAGAAGAGGCAGGAGAAAGAGAGGAGAGAGAGGAACAGGAAAAGGAGATTTGTCTTAAGTAATGGCAGCATTACTCCTCTGAGGCAAATTAGAATATTAAAGTTTCAGAGAGACAGATATGCTGGTTTACCAAGTGCAGGATCAGTAGAGCACGGCCACGTGGGTTTGAACATGAAGTTAGAGGAGCATGTCTTGGGATGCCTCACTCCAGGAGGCCTCACTCAGCCACAGCAACCAGGAATTCCTCTACTTTTACACAAAGTCACACACTCTCTTGAACTGAGGGAAAATCTGGCAAATTTTGGCAGGAATTAGACTGTTGAAAATTTATCAAAGTGAAGCCTTTAAAGACACAAAAGCTGAAATCTAAAGAGACTTAGCAGATTTAAAGACTCAGAAATATTTCCCACTATAAAGAAATATGGTGGGGAGTTATTTTTCAGTACCAAGAAGCAATTCTCATTGCTATTTATTGCCTTTGCCCTGAGTGAGGTTAAGCACCAAGAATTGCCCTAATCTCAGACTAGGCTTGATTCAAAGCCTCAGTTTCTTACTTGTCTTCCCGTGCATTTTTGCATAAAAAGAAAATGTTGGTTATAACACCTCCAAAATATACCATTTGATAAAGCTAACTACCCAAAACATTAGGAATAACTCTAACTTGGAATGCTGTCTGAGAAGGTAAAACCATAACGTGCATGGGTTTTAGAAAGCCTTTACTCAATTTTGGTTTTTTACAGCCAGAACTGTAAACTGGATAGTGCATTTCTCATTTGTTAAGATTTGGAACCTGCCTTTCTACTTTGTATTTTTACATTAAAATATTTCCACTGAAATTTATTTCCTTCTGCTCTAAACAATTAAGTTCAAAAATATGCATATACATCTTCCTAGAAAAGAAGTCCATTTCACACAAATAAGTATTTTCTCTTCTAGCATTGTGCTGTGTGCAATTTTTGCTTTAGACATCTTTCATGAAAGTGTCAAATGGAAAACAGAAAGATTTTGTGCAGAGCTTTACCTATTATTCACACTCCCCAAGCTCCCTTTCCAAATGGGGATAATTCTTTAGTGGTTGTCATGTGGATTAACTAGTTGAAATTAGAATAGCAATTTCTTTTGCTTGCCTGTAAATACCTAGCAGCAAATAGGGGTAAATGCATACAGGACAATGCCTCAACAGCCAGGAGAAACAGTGAAGAAGAATTAATATCCTTCATAAAATTCAGCCTACATGAGTAGGAAAGCAGATGAAATTCCAATTTGCAGACTGGTTGATACGTGTGCAATCTTAGCTCAGCTTTAGCAATCAGCTAAATCAGGGTGAGAGGTGAAGAGATAGATGAGCTCAGAAGGAGCAAATTTTTTTTAGCAAACTGTTCCTCAGGCAACATTCAATGTGTCCTATTCTGCTAAGATTGGACTAAAAGTTCTTCTCATCCTAGTCTTGTCTGGGATCATTTTCCTGCAGCAGAAAGTAGCAGATGCTTCAGAAAAAGGTATAAAAAGGTGTGTAATAGAAAATTAAACACAAAGCTCCTCTCTGACACAATCATTCTTTTCTCTTTCTGTACAACCTATACCTGACTAAACAAAACTGTTCTACACCTTTGTGCCTGTTGATGAGATTGGAGGAATCTAAGGGAGCCGGTGTGACTTCAGCTGCTCTGTACCTTGGCAAAACATTAATCTTTAGTGATGCCTTCTGGATTCCTAATGTCAGTGCATTTGATGCACTGTGGGTTAGACATTCCAACAGACAACCTTGTGCTTTGCCCAACGAAGAAAGCTAACTTTCTTAATACAAACACAGCAGAACCTTCACTGGTCCTGAAAACAGTTAGAGGATTATCCACTTAAAAATTTTGGGAGGCACTCTTCCATTCTAAGCGCATTCATTCTGCAGCTTGGGAGGGACGATTCATCACATTTTCTTCAAGAAGTCTCCAGGGTCAATGCTCACACCTAGGCTGCTTTAATTGACAGACTGAAAGAGGCACTAGTAGTATGTGATTCATCTTACCTATCTCCAGTGCCTACTTTAGCATAAGATAAATGTTGCTCTAAACCTGCCCATTTTTCTCCACTGACTTTAAAGGAGACTAATAACTTAGGGAGCACCAAGTGATCAGATGCAGGTGTCAATGTCTGGTCAAGGATGAATTCTAGTCACTGTGACCACCGCTAATGAAGACATATCCAAGATATATTTAAACCTGCAGGAGCTAACCCCTGCTTTGGCATGGTACTCTGCACAGATAGCAAAACGAATACGAGAAGCTGGCTCAACCTGCCTCACTTAGAGTGCTGCAGTAGTGCACAACATTCTCATAGATAAAAAGTCAATGGTTGTCAGTCCTGGTACAGCACTGGTACAGCCAAAAGTAACATGAGAGTAGCCACAAAGTGCTGAGGTAGAGCTAACATATATCACCTTTTAGCATAGGCAAACTTGATGTGCTTGGTTCCCAAAACACTTATGACACTGAGTCTGAAGAAAGATGAATTCTTTGCACTGACATCAGAGGGGCTCTTTATTCCCCTTTGAAACAGGATTTTCTGATCTTTACATCCAAGATTCTCAAAGTCAGCAGAGGAATTAAGTCAGCACTTTATAACCTACTTTTTAGTAAAGTTGTCCCTTCTCTATCTTACCATTTGACCTGATTAGAAATCAGATCTATAAATCTCTTTCATTGCCCTTCTGTTGTGACAACTTTCTGCAGTGACTGACTCCTTATGATGTCAGCTAAACTTGATTTAATACTAGTGCTTTACATGCTGCATGCTGCCAAACTGGCATATTTGAATTAATGTGTCCTGCATTTATTTACAGCACTTTGGTATAAACACAGATGCAGAAGAATCTGTTCACAGTTTTTCCATTCTATAAGTATTTTCTCAAACCATGTGCATGTTCTGGTGAATTTCTGTATTTCTTTACTATGATTGCCTTTTCGAGGGGGGATTGTATTCTATATAATTGTAGAAAAATGCCTGATGACTTCTGATTTTTTATGTGTCAGTGTTTTGCTTTACTAATATGATATTATATATCAGAGATTGACCTGTAACTTCCCTGGCTGGAATTAATTATTCACTCCTCAATGAAATATTTTTGCAATAAACATCAGTGAGTCTGTCTGTCAAATCAGAAACTAATGCTTCTGCTGCTCAGAGAGCAGATGCTTCTGCTACTTTGCTCCCTGCTTGGGAGAAAGTACAGAGAAGCAAGGAATAAAGTACTTGAAAAGGATGCAGAGACAGAACTGATGTCAAATTACAATTACTATTCAGGTTTCTTGCCATGTTAATGAATTTTTGAAGATTACATGTTTTTCACTTACACATATTAAAACTCTGTTAAACTGTTTTAGCTAGTGCATACTTATCCATAAAAAGTTCATAGAACCTAAAAATATCCTGCAGTTTCCTAAATATATACTTTGAACAGCACTGAACTGTATTCTAAACAGCCCTACTAAGCCTTCTGCTTAATCTTAATGCCAAGAACACCAACAGTTTTACTCATATTTAAAACTAAGCAGAGGCACAACCTGTTGCCAGATAAGAAACTTATGGAATGAAAATTGCCTAGGAATAACATCTACCCTCTGAAAAGTACATTTTGCCATCCTTCTCTTATGCCTTTTTTTTTTCTAGAATATTTCAATTTGAGCTCTGAGCTGAAAGATATCACTTCCCATATTGTAATTTTTTGACAATCAGTTCTGCTCACTGTGTAGCTTTTCTAGTAAATTAGATATTGTGCTTTCAACTGTAAGGTTTGCTTAGGAAAGGAATTGTAATTTAATACGAATTAAAACTTACCTTCATTTCAATCTAGGAAAATAGACGAGGCTATTTCATGAAAAGTGATGGAGCTGAGGAATCTGGTAAACTCGTGCTTCCTGGCAGACAGGAAGCTAAGAAGTCAGATATTAATTTTCACAAATAATACTTTCTTGTAGCTCTTCTAGCTACAAATTTTGCACCACCAGCATAGTATCTGAATAAAAATTAGATCTATTTCCCTATCATTTAAGATGTGCTAATTCACTATACTTACTCTATCTCATCCCAGCTGCAAAATAAAACAACAACAAAACAGGTGAGCCAGTGTGCACAAGTACTGTTAGTTAGCAAACAGGCCTGAGCTCCTTCTGATGTACCTCAATCTTACCTTCAGAGAGAGGAAACACATCTGAGGTCCCCAGGGTTCAAGTAAAGCTTACTCCAAGTAACTTATTTTATTTAGACTAATAACCTTTTTTTATTAAACCAAATATACTGGGAGAAGTGTGTGTGGCAGTCTTAATCAAAACATCCCCTTATTATACAGGAGTCATTAGAATTCGGCATTGATCTTACTGCAGCATAATTGAGTTCTTTGAATGGGCAAATGAAAGAGCAATAAAATACCATGCACTTTTGTCATGGACTGATTTATCTGTCATTTCAGTGGCTATCAATTAGCTAAGTATCACTCCTCCACTACAACTGAGGGTAATGTAGTGGTAATTAGTTCTATTTTACAGACTATAACTGTCCTGCACACTTGCTGGGGCTGACAGCAGTGAACTCCGGAAATTTATGGATTGAATTTGTCCTGGTTACACAAAAATTCTGGTATCCATCTTTTCTCTTCTTTTCCCCAAGTATGCCTACTAATTTGGACTGTGATGGGGAACTTGAGATAATGGCAGTACTATTATCCTAGAAGAATGTATCTACAAGTGTGAAAAACTGGAATGCTGAAGACTCAGTCAATCAAGGAGCAAGCTGACCATGTGCAAAGTAACCTCCCAGGTGCTAAAGGCGTTCACATCTGCCACCTCAGACTACAAGCTGGGTGTTGAACAGGTAATGAGAGAGGCAAAATCCTGCTAGTCTGGGTAGTGTTTCTTTGTCCTTACACAAATGACTCAGCTGTGGTAACTGCCCTCCGGGGAAGCATCGGGACAATTCACACACAGTCTGAAGATATTCATCTCTGATGTTGGCCATAATGGATCCACCTGTGCTGACATAACTGGCAGCTGTAACATTTTAGGAGGTGTGAAAGACTCCCGATCCAGTATTACATCATCCAGCATATAACTCCCTGCCCCAGGGGAGGTACCACGGGTGTTCCTATCAAGTCTAAGCCCAACAAAAGACCATAGGTCTTAATACAGGTTTTTCTTCCCTCACAACATGGGACTTTTACCACCTCGATGGATCTGGACTGTGACCACCACAATCAAGTCTTGTGGGTCCTTCCAGTCATCTGGGGGGTCCGCAGCCCTGCTCCAAATGGCTGTACCAGCACTGCAGCCTCACTCCACTGCTGACTCTCCAACCATTCCTGCCAGGTTTCCTGGGTTCGGGGGAGGCGAACCATGCAGAAGGGTGGCCATCTTGTCTTTGTCCTGTGGCCACGTGTGTTTTTTCTGGGTGGGGGAAGCTGGCCATCATTTCAGTTTGTTCCAGTGGGCAGGGCTTGGGAATTTCTCCTGAGCAGTTGGTTTAACCCAGTTTTATCAGTATTTTTATTGGCATTCCTCTTGGTAAAGAGTTATTTTTTTTCACTTACATGTAGGTGCATTTGATATCTCTCTCTGTGTACTGGATAAACCAGGAGTATTGAATCCAAGGAAGGAGACTTCTGTCTGAGGTCTCTGTCCCTCCTAATTGTCTTAAACTGAGATAAACTTACAGTAAAGAGTACACAGAACTTCAGAATGAAGTTGCACTTCGGTTAAGTAGAAGAAAGTCAACAGTTCTTGATCTACTTGATAAAAAACCCATATCTAGTAGGCTTCATTGCTATCCTTATTCTCTCTGTGAAGTCATGTTGTCCACACTTAGTTCAGCAGAAGTTAATCCTGTTCTTCCCACCTGTCCATTCAGGCAATAGCTTTGGTTTCCCATGGATGTGCATGTGGATAAGGTAATTTCTGCGGGTTCATATCTCCCATCTAGTTGAAATGCATTAATTTTTCCTGGGAAGAAAAACTCCAGAAACCAGTAGAGTAGAACAAGAGGCACCTTTAAGACTCAAATCAAAAAGCTGGTACCTATGACTGTTTTCCTGCCTGCAATCAGATGAACACACACAAGTCTTACACACAAGAACTGAGACAATGATAGCCAAGTAGTTAAGTCATAAAGGACCACGATTTCTCTGTGAGGACAAATAAACACAGCATTTCTCCTGCAGAAGGCAGTTGTATTTTGCAAACACTCATAATTTCCACAAAACTTTGTTGTACTAATAAAGAGAATGTGTACAGTAAAAGTAACATTCCACAATACATAAATAAATAAATAAATAAATAAATAAATAAATAAATTAAACAGAACTCAACTATACCAAAGTGCTATTTCCCCACCACTTTTGACATGACTGTCCAGATCATTTAGGGGAGTCCAGATTATAAACTTTTTAAAAGATCTTTAGAGTTTTCTTATTAAATATTCCCTATACCACATAGGTATTAAGATCATCAGGTTTGGGTTTTTTTTCATTTTCAGACAGAAACTCTACATTAGAAAGATTAAACAGAAGATGTCTGGAGTGATGAATTCTCAGTAGTGATTATAGTGAACGGTAGTCCTGTGAATGGACAGAACTTCCCTGTAGATGCATCTTTTTTGCCTCATCTCATCCTAGGGTACTAATTTCTTCAAAATATCTAAAAACATTTCTCACATTAACAAGGCTTACTTTTTTTTTAAAGTCAACCCACTGCAAAATTACAAAGATCAGTACTGAATAAACCTATGTATGGATATCATCCCTCTAATCTGATATTATTCAAGAGTAGAAGAACTTGCATTTTCATAGCTTAATGAAATTGCAATGACAGCAAAAATCTTCATGTACAAGAAACTATAATTCCTATCCCACAGTATTTAACTCATACTCTCTATATTTAACTCTTGCTTATTTCTTGTCTCCTTATATTCAAAAATTGTCATGCCTTGGTGGAGTTACTTGCCAGCTGACTACTATTTTTGCCCTGTACCATTAGTGAAATTACAGAAGCAATATATACTACTTGGAAAAATTACCTTACTGTATTACAAAAAGGAATAATTATTGGGTTTTTAACATAAAAAAAATTTTTTTCCAACACCATTCAATTTTCTGATCTGACAGGAATGGGATGAAACAGGCTTTGGATGTTTCCTGAAAAAAAATCTGGCTGACATGATTTTCTAAGTATCCTCTCTCCGCAGGTATAAAAATTGTGTCTGATTTCTTAAGCACATTTGAGTTGCATAGGTATACATGTATATGCTTTATAAAACCCATAGAATTCACTCCGTGCTTTCATGAAAATATAGTGGTGCTACATAATAGAATCCAATAGTATTCTTTAAGTAAGTCTGACTTTAAAGTAAGAAAATATGGTTTTGTTTTTGAATTTTGGGGTTTTGTGCCCCCAGGAATAATGAAGGAAAATAAAATAATTTTATTTTCTAGAAGGACACACTTCATTGAACTTTCTACTTTAGATTTATAACGTGTAGAAATAGTAGTGCATTTCTTAATCCAAAATCTGCCTGTACAACAAGTTGATCAGGCCTGACATTTAGTTCCCAGTCCCAATGAATTTTGTTATTGGAAATGGTGTCATACAGTAGCTGAGCGATGTTTTAGACCTTGCCCTTGCCTGAAGAGATACAGCCCATTCAGAATTATTGATAACTATACTGCAATTTTTACTGCAGCAGCAGAAACAACGTTTCGTTAAATATAGAATACGCTGCTTATGTATCTATTGCAAAACAAGCCCTAACAATACTCTCTGCTGTAATTGAGATAACTATAGACACCTCCAGCATTTCCTGTATTAACTCTTGTATTATTTTTTTATAGGTGATTTTTTCAAATTTGATGTTTTGAGTTGCAGCAGTTTTGCTTCCTCACCCATGCATAAGAATGAGACTGTAGTGCCCTGATCCACTGCCAAGAGAGCATATTTGAATGCAATATAATTCAGAGGCGGTCTGATTAGCTCATTTGTTTTCTCTTCCATTGTGCTTTTCATTATTTCCTGAAATCCAAAATGCTGCTGTTATTCCTCAGGCTGGGAGTTGACTTTTATTTATGTTTCCATTATGTCATTCTTTCTGTGAGCAGCTAAACAGATTTGTATTGATGAGATGTTTTCCAGCACCCTAGGGAGTCAACCAGTAAGGCTAAATGCCACTTTAATCATTCCCAGCAGAGACGTCTAAGTCAATGACCTGTATCGTTGAGCTGTATTACTTTTTGATGCTATCATTTATTCTGTAATAGGCAGTCGAATAGAGCTGCCCTCTACAGCATCTGCCTATTCACACACTCTTTTGGGGAGTGTACTTTATATTAATTTTGTGCTACATGCTGGTTTACATTTTTTCAGCCATCTTTTCAGGTTTTCTTTCTATGTTAGGAAGTATAGAAGTTCACCATTCCCTGTCCCAGCCACTGAATTCCAGAACACACACACAACCCTGTAACCAGCTGTCTGTCTTTATGACAGTCAACTGTACATTTGCTATATATTTTAAATATAAGAATTTGAAGTTGAAATAGCTCATACAAAACACAAAGTTCGGTGAGGTTGGTCACAATCTGCCCAGTATTTTCAGCAGACTTCTGAAGACTTGCAGTACTATTTAAACAAGGAGCAGGTGCATCAGTTGCACAATGGGGATTCACAGCAGAGAGATTAGAGATGATGCTATTCTGACCATGAGAGTCTGGACACAGACATAAGATTACATTTGAAGAGCAAAAAAACCTTTTAATAGATGAGTGAAAGAGTTGTAAGGCACTGAAATATTTCCAGGAGCATGTGTCCTTCAAGTCTCAGACAGAAGAGATAACATTAAAAGCCAACATAGAAAGAGAATAATGTATCTGAGTCTGACCTGTTGAAACACATGGCAATCACTTCTCCTGTCAGTCAGTCTCAACTTCCCTTTAAATTCAGAGATAGTTTCATATGCAGACAGGTGTCTTAGGAGACATTCTCTTGTAATGTGTCTGTCAATTATAATAATTTATTATTTCAGCCTCTGATATCAATATTAAAGAATATAAATCTACTTTGTCTGCTCTTTAAACCTTACATGTAAGAGCATAATCAAAAGCATTTTTAAAGAGGAAATAAATGAAAACTCTGATATTTCCAAGTAGTCCGCAGGGGAAAATTATATTTACATGGTTATGTCAGTTTTAAAAGAAAATATAATAAATTTCTTGAATTTAACCATGTGACAGTACTCAGGAAAAAAAGTGGATATTATATAATCCTGATACAAATTTGTTTGGTTTAAAAACACTAGGATTTTCTCCTACTGATTGATAAGTATATCCCAGTCTCAGATTTGAAAATTAATCCTTTTATTTGTGCCTTGAGCACATGCCCCAGCAATAGAAAGGCTGCTGTAGACGTTAAGCTGGCATGATGCTTAGCACAGTATTATCAATAGTAAATCCAACTCACTGGCGAAGTACTGCCAGGGCAAGAGAAGCCCAGCTGCCAGGAATAAGAAAGAAGTTGCTAAGGCAGCAGGAATGGGAGCCAAGCTGGAGCAGGTGCAACCCCTGCACAAGCTTGACAGCTCATGAAAAAGTGAGAGTATTGAAATAGCCAAAATTTCTAAATAATTAGTACATGCAACTGTGTTACACCAACATAAGTCAACTCAGATATGTGCAGTTTCCAGTGGAATATCTTTGAACACAGCAGTCTTTCATTCTAGTTTTATTATTTGTCTTAATTGAGGAGGAAATAGCCCAGCGTCTCATTCATATGCATATACGTGGTAAGCATCATAGGCAGCCAGATTTCTGCCACATTAATTTTGATTTTTGCTTGTACTGCCTGAGTGTAAAGGACTTCCAGTGCAACAGATCTGTGCAGTTAGCTGTGGAGTTGGAGCATTCAATTCTAGTTCCCAGCCGCTGTCCTCAAGACAAGAAGTACAGGTTTGCAAGTAAGCTCCCTGGGTGATGGTGAGAAGGAGCATTTTAGGAGAACTGCCAGCTGACTCAGTTAAGTGAATACAAAAAGACTTAACTTAATGGTCCAGTTGATTTATCTCTTTCTTGTTTTGTTTTGTTTTGTTTTGTTTTTTTAATTTCTCCTTCTTTACCTTGGATCTTCCACTGCTCTGACATGAGGATGCCTTCTCTCCCACACTCCTCTCCAAAGAACTACTTACTTAGCTTTGGATGAGTTGTGCCCTAGGAAATTTTTAATAAGACATATAGTACCATTCCTATGCAGGTGGTTAGTACTTAAAAACCAAAAGGTATGAACTTATCGTAAGAAGTTCACCATTTGTGAAATATTCACACTCAAATTGTATTCAGTCTGGTTTTTTTATATTTGTCTTCTATCACTCAACTATTCAGCCAAGCAGCATCCTTGTATTTGCAGATACAGTGTTTCCTTGAGACTATTCATGCCTTTCATGTACAGTGGAAAGCCCTTTTATCAAGCCTAATGCTTTGATGTAGTTCCCTAGATTTTCAGTATCTGTGTGTAACAAAACTACTGAAATACAGTGCAATGATGACAAAATGGGCTGCAATGATTGCTCTCCCATCCTCCATTTACACTATGAGAAGACACAAACAGAATAGATATAAGGTACATAGACAAATGTTTGGTTCAGTCCCTAACATCAGAAGTTATAAAGCCCCCCTTTTGTTACACCATCAAAATAATAATTTACCTTTTGCTGTTTTTCATATTCTGTACTGTTTTCCTTGGGAGTCAATAGAATTGCACAAGAGTACTTCACTTTCAGGAGATGTCTTCAAATCCATAAAAGCTAAACTAAAAATAATAATGAAGAAATATTGCTTTTAGGAGAACATTTACATGTCAATGAGGATAATAGGTCAAGTAGGTCCAATTTGGCTCTTAAACCAGGAATTTCCATATCTCCAGTAGTTTCAGACCCCTTGTTGAGTTTCTTATCCTGCTTGGCCCTCAATTTACATTCTTCACTTAATTTCAATGCTTCATTTTCACATCCCCCTCCTCACCCCCCCGCTCCAGCTGCGATTTGAAGCATATCTAAGAAAATACAAACTTATTTAATCAATTTTACAAGTCCATTCCACCCTACTTCCAAGGTAGGGTTTGATCAGTCCCTCTGCAGGCCCACCTTACTTCCTGCTCAAACTACGGAAAAGTCTGACTTTTAGTGAGGTGGAGCCATCTGGTGTCTGTCACTGATGTAACATGTTGCTCTAACCTGCTTTTAAAAAGACAGGTTGCTTTAATACTACAACTTTCTGAAATAATTAATGTTCTTTATTACACACATACTCCCTCAGTTACTTAAAATATTTTTAAATATTCATTGCACTTTTATCTCATATTCTTAATGTATGGAATTCAAGATAGCACTTTAAGCTCCTTAAGAACTATGTTAAGTGAAATTTAGACTCAAAAGGACAAGTTGGACAAGGGCCGAGAAAGGGAACTCCCACCTTGCCCTCTAAAATTTTGAGAAACCCTAATTTACAAATTCCTACAAGACCTCTATCATGTTACTTCCTCAGTGTGAAAGCATCCTTTTCTGGGTAGATCAGAATCTACTCCGCAGAACTACCTGGTACATTAACCAGATCCACATCGGTGTATTTATCACATCTAGTCTGCTGAATGGGATGAAAGTGCGTGATGTGGTGCAGCAAGTGCAAACCAACTGTGCCTATGGAGGAGACATGCAATGAAAAAACCTGGAGTGTGAAGGCAATGTGCTTTTAGGCTTGAGATGGAGGTGACTTCAGTGAGCTTTGCTAAAATGGGTCTTAGGCATATTCAGGAATTGAATTTTAGCAACCAGGAATATGTATTAGGTGATTACAAAGTTAAATAGGTCTGTGAGTCATCACAGCAGTATTTTATGACATGCTGTTTAGTCATGACAACATTTAATCAAAACCATGAGACACTTTCTCTGAAACAGAAAACTAAAATGAAAACATAAATTTAATTGGTTTTTTTCTGTATTACAATAAGAAGCACAAGCCATGCAGATGGGTAATAGAAATGAAAATATCAAAACTAAGTAGAATTCACTGCATAGAAAAGAAGAAATTTCAATTTTTTATGACATATAAAAACAAAATGCAATTTTAATAAAGTGGCAAAATAAAAGAGTGATATTCTCAGAGACACAGAACACAAAAAATTCTTGCATCTTCATACTCTTATAATGGGGTTTAAGTTTCTCTGACATGTAACTGATTTTAAATTCTTTGAGGGGAACCTATACTCTTAATTCTTCTTAAATAAAGTTGCAGCCTTCTCTGACCCTTTGTTATGATTGGGGCCTTTCCAGCTGAAGTGCAATCTGCATGATGATGATGGTAATGTATTAGGGTAACTGGTGATGTATCTCTCAATCACAATAGACACTTTCGTAGTAATGATTAGATGCATTGTTAAGTGTATCCTTTCACAAGCCACTATTTCTTTTGTAGTTCTTTACTGTTTTGCACAATAGTAAATTTATACACTTATCCTTTAAAGTTGGTGTCTGTGTTCCTTAAATCCACCCTTGTTAACGGGTGGGAAGGGGGGCAAAACGGATTGGCAGATCACTGGGGGAAGACTTCATTGCAGCCTACAAATTCCTCGTGAGGGGAAGAGGAGGCACAGACACTGGTGCCTTCTCTCTGATGACCAGTGACACAACCTGAGGGAATGGCATGAAGTTGTGTCAGGGGAAGTTTGAGTTGGAAAAAAAATTGGATTTGAAAAAAAATTGGTTTAAAAAAAAAATTCTTCACACAGGGGTGGTTGGGTACTACAACAGGCTCCCCAGGGCAGTGGTCAGAGCACCGAGCCTGACAGAATTCAAGAAGCATTTGGATAATACTCTCAGGCACATGGTGTGACTCTTGGGGATATTCCTGTGCAGGGCTTAGAATTGGACTCAGTGATCCCTCTGGGTCCCTTCCAACTCAGCATGTTCTGTGATTTTGTAATTCTGTGATTAAGATGAAGTATCTTCCACGCATCCAGTTGAAACTGTTCCATCTTGTGGTAGAAGCCTGAAGTCTCCTTAGGTCTGAAGAATTAACATTACTTGCTACATTAGTGAATAAAAGGGGGATTGAGCTGTCATCCAAAGGCTGTTCTTCTATTTCGTAATGAATATAAACAGATTTCAGGTCAGCAGCCAGAACACAATTCTCTCAGTACAAGCCAGTGACAGGCAGAAGATTTTAACTCTGGAAATGCTATAGAGCCAAGTGCTCATACACACACTCTCTCATCAAGGATGATAGTTGTCCTGGGCCTTTACTGGGTTGGGGTTGGCCAGTGTATTATCATATTATAAAGGAAAACTCAGTACATAGCTGCATTTCACTGAGCTGTGAGATGTGGCCATAAAATGCCATACATAGGGTGAAGTGTAAAGTGATGAATAAAAGGGGTGAAGATAAGAGTAGACTTGCAAAAATAACAGTGGCCAAGTACATCTTCTGGTAGTCAAACCGAAGACGTTAAAAGACAAGCAGAATAAAGAACACAAACCATGATTAGCTTTACTGGTCCATAAAAAGGTGACTGAATCACAGAAACTCTGCAAGAATAATACATGAGATGTCTAAGTGGGTCATTCTGTATATATATCCAAAGAAATGAATGCAAAGATAATGCAAAGAAGATATGTTATGAGATACCTAAAAAACCTAACCCCTATAACATTTTACTTAGTTAGAGACATTCTTAAATATGACCAGCAAGCAAATAGAAATGGTTTTGGAGGTATTTTACCTGCATGACATAGCCAGATGTGGCCAATCAACACTGAAATTTTAAGGTCTGGGAAAAAAAAATATTTTATTCTTTGTTTGAACAGTTTGAACCTGACATCGCTTGTCAAAGTGTAAAAAAGACCTGAAGTGTTCATGTTTTGTTAAGTAAAAAAAGAAACCATAACACATAGTAACTGTTATTCGCTGCCACTCACAACTTGACACCATGTTGTGCTTTTGTTGGTTCATTCAGTAAAGACTCAAATGCAACATTCCTAGTCAGTATTCCCAGTTAGAATAGACTATAACAATGAGATTATTTGTTCTGGTCCAATACTTGGACAGCTAATGAAACAGGCTGATCCTTTGGTTAAAATGTACTTTCTCTAATAGAGAAACCACTTCTGGTAATTGAGAGGAAGAAAATGAAATATTTCTTTCTTCCTATCTGATTTCAGTGCACCACATTTAAAACTAGACTTCTTCAGTCCTGATTATTAATAATAGGATCATTCTATTGCATAATATCTGTTCCTTTACTTGAGAAACTTGATCCTTGTAATCAAATACTTCTGAACAGTAGTGTATTAAGCACAAGTGACTGCACTTTTACACCTATACTGGACAAAGGTCAATAATCACACCAAAGAAAGAGGTACAAGAAGCTTAAATAACAGAACATGCTCATATAGTTTGCTAAGAAAGATTCTTCCTAACCTCTAACAAAGTAAGAGGTTATGTGAAGGTAAGATACCCTGAAGCATTCCAGAGAAGAACAGAGGTTGGTTTTGACACCTCAACTTTGACTTCTAACTACTTTTTAAACATTTATGCTATTTATATCTTCTTAATTTTTCTATAATTTTTCATTATGATATATGTCTGCTTTAATTGACAAGTAAACCCAGCTGCGATGTATGAACTACTTTTGTTCTTCATTACTATATTTTTATCTTCCAATCTTTTGGCACACCGGAGGGACTGTGTCTAGTGAATGCTGGTTGCTACAGGATACCACGATCAGAAAACATATAAGGCCCTTGAATCCATGCCACCAAAATCTTGGAAAGAGCTGAGGAGGAAAGTTTTAACATAGAGCAGCCTGTGTGCCTCAGCCTCACGTGCCCTCTGCACCATGGCATTACTGGTTTCTAAATAACCTTGTCTGTCCTCTTGTCCTTCAGGTATCCGTTAGACTATCCCAAAACAGAATCTTGCAGTAAACTATATTTTCCACTTTGCTTCACATGACACAGCTCTCTCTGGAGGATTTGGCTTCCCCTTCTGCATAGCGTGTTGCTCCCAGTCTCCTTTCCAGGAACTCAAGACACCCAAAGATGGAGCGCTCCATGGGGAAGGAACAACACACTGAAGCATTGTACTGCAGGCACTGTTCAAGAACATAAAGAGTTGGAAAGCTGCCAACTCTCAGCATTTCTAATTTGGGACTAAAGACTTTAGACATTATCTAAATCAGCAAGCAGTTCAGTCATCTATATATAGCTTCCATATTTTTGTTGGTAGCTTTAAATGCATCCAGAGTAGCATTGATTTGCAGTATGAACCCGAAAAGAAAAAAGATTTAAAATAGGTAGCTTACCCAACAGCACCTCAAATCAATTACTGGCATCCTTTCAGGCTGCATTTAGTTATGCTTACTTGAGGTATCAAATGAAAAAGACAAACAGTGTCATAGTGAATGAAGGGCAGGTGCTTTCCATCATTGAGACTGGTTAAGTCCTCAGCATTATGCACTTCCTTTCTTTAACAAAGTTGGGTTGCTTTTAATCTCTGGCTCTGAAGGACAACCTAAGCCTTGCTCAATACTTGCCTTTAGTCTTCCCTGCACAGGGAAAACATGCAGGATTACTGCAAAGAACCCATCCAGCACTTCTTCTATCTGCCCTGATACTTATATATCCGAAATCCTCCCTGACTAACTTTTCCGAATTCTTTCCAGAAAAGCAACCATTGCAAGCAAACCTCAGATCCACAGCTTTCCAGTGTTAGATGGGTTCTTTGAATGTTTGAACTATGTCCTAATAAACCCAAGTTTATTCATTTATTTACTATTTTTTCA